ACTGAAGCACTGAAAACAGAGTTGGAATAAAAAAATTTGAAAGTTTTACCTGGAACCAAAACACGATAGAACTAAAAAATGCAGTTAAATACCTGGGATTAATTTTGGAACAAACTGCAATTTTCAACCAACATATTGAATCAGTAAGAAAAAACGCAATCGATTCGTGTCTCTTTCTTATCAAACAATACAACCAATATATCAATATGGTTTATTAGTATACGGAGTTGCCAATAAAACCGCTTTAAAAATTTAGGAAGTACAACAATTTTTTTAAAATTTGAACTGAGTTTTGTCTCAAAAAACACAAGAAGTAAGGAATATGAGAAAAACGCAGGGAATTTGCTCAATCGAAGAATTACACGTATATGAACTGCTGAAGATACTCTCTAAGTAATAAGACGAGAACATGATGAAAACGACAACGTGAACAAGTTTATTTCAAATCAAGAATTGAACAAATCACTCGAAATCACTAGAAGAAAAAAATCACAAACAACAAAACAATTATCGTAAAAAAACAAAAAAAAATTAACAAGAAAAAAATCACAAACAACAAAACTTTTCTTTGCTTGTAAATTTTACAGTAAAATTATATCAATTAGATTCCAAATAAAAGAACTGTAAGATTTTGAAACTTTTCTCTTTAGTTCTATTATTTTTTTTTCATATAAATGTTAGTTAGATAAAACAATCAGGTCGATATAAGACAGTACTTAGAAAGTTTTTAGTAGCGCCTCAACAGGTTGAGTTATCTTTTGCGCTTGCTCAAATTGGTGCCCTATTAATGATAAGTTCCCTATATTGTTTGGATTATTGCACTATTTGAAATAAATTTATTAGTATGATTTATTATCTTTTCTACAATTTTTTAATCAAAAGTCGATAACAATTTGGCGTCTCATTTAATTGCAAAACTACATCATCACTGTAAAATTGCACTATTCAAAGGCCTAATATAGTTTTCTTTGGTTCGCCTAATGTTTCTCTTAGGTTGGTTTAACTTTCCTCAATTTTTTTTTTCAATTAAATATGTATGTCCGGTCTTTGCATTTACCTTTTCTTATCTGCATGCAGTTGAAAAAAGTGACTGATTGTTTGTGCTTTTTTCTTTCTCTGTCCTTTTCTCTAGATAAATTCCAATTTTTTTGAAAAGTTTACACGTAATCAATTTATATGATCCAAAGGGTTTCGTTGCCTTGAGCTCACTGAAAAATGTTTCAACTGCGATCATTTTTTGTATATTTTTGGGAATCACAGATCGTCAATCTGGCCAAATTTGGGGCAATTAGCATGATAAATAAGGTATTATCTGTCTTAGAAATCTCTTAAAAGTGACTCGAAGCTTGATATTTAGTATATATAAACAAAGTTTTGCTATATGAGAAATATATAAATTTAGTTATTGTTCTGACCATTTGAAAAATGGGGAGGAACTTTGTATTTGGGTGTTTTTTCGAGCAAATAAAGCAAACGAGCAGGCTAATAAAAGCTAATTAATCCTAAATTAGGACCTTAAAAGTTAATCTTAAGCAAGTAAACTTGTTTTTGTAATCATTAAGCTTTATTTTGAGAACAAATAATTTCAAAAAAAAATCAAAAAATTTCGGCAGAAAACTTTGAAAAAAAAAGTTTTTAATTTTATTTTCTTGTTAATTTTCTTCTAAAAATTTGGTCGAATTTTCCAAAATTACTATGACCGTCAAATATGCCTACAGTATATTTTTACGTCAGATCCGTTTCTCACATCAAGCAGAAAAAGTTACAATAATTTGGAAAAAAATCTTTTCAAATGGTAGTTTTCTAAATACCATGGTCGGAACATTTTGCGCTATTTGCACAGTAACGGGCTATCCTTGTTTACATAGCGTATAATGAGATGATTAGAAAATCTCAAACATCATTTTTCATCGTTTTTGGAAAGTTTTATCAGTTTTTCTGTAAAACGAGCCCTACTCAACAAAAAAGATCTTTCAAAACAACCGGAACTATTCAAGTTTTACCTTGATCCAAGCAATTTTGTTGGATGTTTTTATCTAGTAAATGGCTATTTTATCATCACTTGTGTGAAAAACGAGTAGTTTTTTCCAAAAAACAAAAGGAAAGCTGTTTTTTGAGCTTGAATATATCCAGTTAGTACTGGCTCTATTTTTTTCATTTTTTCACTTAATCCATACTAATTTCTTGGGCGCTTTGCCGTGAAATAAAATGCAAATTGCCATCCGCGAGGTCTATCAAGGTTTATGAGCTGAAAATCGTAAATTCTTTGGCAATTAAATTGAAAATGTGATTTTGTTGGACAAAATGGAGATACTTGAAACACACATACTCATTTTGATCGAGACAAGTGGAGCAAACTAGAATTTATTCAAGAAAAAGAGAAAAAAATTCCAAACTGCATGGAGTCGTGTGGAAGAAATTTTTTTTGAGTTGAAAAAATCTGACATACAAAGTGTTGGTCGAAACAGTTCTAGCATATCAAAACATGGCCGAGGGTTTCAAACAAGAAGTCAAGCTCCTCTTTGCGTGTATCACGTCTTGTTAAATTTTGTAGGTTTTTAAACCAATTTATCTGCCAGTTTTTTGTTGGAATCAGTTGAAGTAATTCTGTGAATTTGAAAAAACTGATACTAAGAAATTGGACTTTTTGTTTAAACTTTCCTTTCTGTATGCATTCAAAAAAGTGTATTTTTGTAATGTAAAAGATGTTTCGCCGTAATCATTTTTCGTAAAGTTATGAGAATATAAAGATCGTCAACATAGAATATCAACATTGATGAGTTTGTCCTGATATGAGCAGCATTATTGAGTTTTGCATCTGATATTTGGATTATGTGAAAACCAGTCTTTTTTTCTAAGAAACAGAGTCTCCTACGGAAACAACTCAACAGTTCGTGTTATGAAAGAGCTCAAACTGGCTCTTTACCACCACTTTCCACCACATTTAAGTTTCAGTTTTCATAACTGTTTTCCCGTTGTCATATGTACCCAAAGCATAAAAGGGCAGAATTGGTAGGTTTATTTCCAAGTAATGGAAAAGTTTTTGGATAAGCTTACAAAAGAAATCGCCATCAAACCTTAAGATGTAAAATCTACACTGGTAAAAACACATTCCAATGACATTCAATTTTACCATTAACGTGTCAAAATCAAACGCTTGATTCAAATGTCTGATCTATATTGCTTTTGCAGTCTTGGTTTCAGATTTTTTAATCTTGAGTTTGTACGAGCTGATTTGGGTTAAATGTCACTGAAAATCGAATGGATTCCGGCATTGTTCCAATTAATTCCATGCACTTTCTTTCGCATCTGTTTTCTAGCTAAGAAGTTGAGTCTTCGCGTTTTTGAGGCTACAGTAAAAAATTATTGAAAGGCAAGTCAAGCAAAAATCAAAGTCGAATTTAAAAGTCAAGCAATCAAAATCTTGAAAGCTGAATCAAAAATAAATTAAAAAAACAGATCATTGAATAAATATAACCAAAAGAAGACACATTGCGTTTCGTTTCTAACTAACTACAGGGTTTCTTATCTCTTATAGTTTTTTAAATTGCTGTGTTCAAGACACTTCAATCCAAGTTCACCAACTGTTAAAAAATATCTTATCTAGACCAAAGGAAACTTTTTTGTGAGTCCTTTGTAAGCGTGCACTCAACTTCATGTAGACTTAATTACCAGTTCCAAATGGATTTGAATGAATTCAGCTTCCATTGATGGACATCAACTGGATATTATTGACTCAGCTATTGTCAATATGATTGCTTGTGTTGTATTCTTCGTTTTAATGTCACGTTTTGTAGTCTTCGTTGTTGTAGTCTTCTGAATTCCTTCAACAAAATCATAGCTCTAGTTATGGATTATAATTTTGGTTTCAAAATATTAAAGTATCGTGGCTTGTCTGTAATCAGAAATTTAATTATCGAATTTCTCGGGTTACTTCTTGCTTTAAGTGCATGATTCACTCAGTTTCTTCAGTGTTTCTCGCCAGCAATGATGACTCAACTTATGATGACTTGATTAGTCATGGTACTAACAGCAGGTATCGCAGTTCTTGGCGAGACTCAGTTCTACTGCAAGCACCAACCCCGAACACGGAACATGACTACACCTATCCACAACTGGATGCTGGTGAGTGTCGCGCTGTTTCTCCTACGAGTGACAAACTCGTAGTCATTTCCCATGTTCGGGGCGTAATCTTGCTTCGGCTGGGGAGGCGGTGGAGGGGGCGGTGGCACGGGAGCGGTTCCGTTTAGTATTTGCCACGAGTCTACGTGGCAAATACTCATAAACAACTGACGAGCATTGGTCACTGAGGAAGACTCACTAGCAATCATGAAATTTCGCACGCAAACTGCACAATTTTTTTTCATCTGATCACCAGCGCATTCAGCGCAATTTCCAGGCACTGCTCCACACTTGCATAGTTGACTGCAGTTGTGTTTGGAGCTTTTCGGGTCGAACAGTTCTCTATCTTGGCCCGTGAGGTCTTGTCCATTCAGCGTTTTGATATTGGGAGAGAGGCAACGCTCATCAATGTTCCACACGTCCACCGTCAAACTCAAAGTGTGCGATGAATCCATGTTCATTTCTTGCATAAAATTTGTTGGCAGCGTCATATTGTGCGCTCTCGATATCGAGATATTTCCGATCCTTTGGCAAAACTTCAGAAAGCCATCTGGCACAACATTTGACTCAGTATCAGACCATATAATACTAAGTTCAACATTTTTGAGGAAAAGGAAGCGATTAAATGTCAAAAACTCCTCGTGAGGTCCACGTACAACTAAACTTGGAAAAATTTGTCCGATCCAAGGATTTTTCTGGTTTCCCAGAAGCATTGATGTGCTTTTCATGCTATATAATTGCAACTCGTTCTCGACGGTGAAAACTTTTGGATCCAGAAACATGACCGCGTTAATTCTGAACAAAATTTTGCCAACACTCGCCGAAGAAAAATATTTTCTTTCGATCGACAAGCGGTCATTTTCCTTAAAGACAAGGTAATGGAAGGTAACTGTATTGGTTGAATTAAACCGTATTGTTTTGAGTGTAGTATTCATAATTTGGATCTCCATGTCTGCTCCTTGTGTCAGGACATGGGTCATATCAACCCTATCCACTCGCAAATCCTGCACAAGCATAAGATTGCCGTCGTTTGAACAGTGTTCTACCAATCTAAATCCAAGAGTGTCCGGCCTTTTGCAAAGGCAGGTACCACAAATATTGGAGGAGCTGCGGTCTTTCTTTTCAACTGATCCAATAGGTGCATCAGTTGTTAGCCAATAAGGAAAAGCTGAAACAATAAAATCTGACGTAATATCAAAATTATGTGTCGGTTTGTCTGTTTATCTTTTTCCTTCTGACAATTTTCTGCATTTTTCTGCTATTTAAGTATTTGAAAAGATTTAAATAAGTGAATGGTTTTATTGTCAATTTTGTCGAATTTGTACAAAAATTGGCAGAGAACCTAATTAGGCTTTTTCAAATTTATTTGTTTTTCCTATTTAAATCAGTCTTCTGTTCATTTTTTTCTTCCAGTTCCGCTCTCTGGCCCTTTTGCTGGAACTAAACTATAATACACCTGGCCTATTCAGCAAACATAGCCAATCGAAGATCGGAAAAAGAATAATGAACGCAAGTTAACAAAAAACCCTAACTTTGTTGAAAAATAAATATTTCGAATCTCAAAAAAACATAGCCAATTGAAGATCGGAAAAGAGTAATGAGCGCAAGTAACAAACAGAACACTGACTTTCTTGAATTCAAAGAAAAAACAGATGCCTTTAAGCTCGTTGAGTTTCTAGAAAATGTTATGATTGGCGCTTTTTTGATAACATGAACCCAACTAGAGAAAACTGGATCAATAGCTAAACGTTTTTCTTCCGCTGGGAATCTAAAAATCAAATTCCACTCTTGAAACTAGAAATGGTTCACGTTTTTTTCGTGCCAATACCACGTTTGAGTTTGGAGAGTGCTATATACGTCACTCTCGCAGAAGAAATTCATCTGAACTCTAAAAGAGCATATATGCCTAAGTGCATTCATTGATGCATCAATATATATGAATGCATATCTGTTGTTATTACATACCTTTATGCAAATTTTTAGATTTTTTACTTAGGAAAAACGAAAAAAAAAACAGCAAAACCAATATAAGAGTCTTCACTACGTTCATTACTGTTTAAAATATATTTTACAAATTATCAACAAGGATGTTTGCATGTGGTCGAGGCTGATTTTTTGTTATCAAAAGTAGGCAAACCAATTCATAACAACCTACACTTCATAAAAACTTCAATTTTTTGACTAAGTCGTTGGTCTTATAAAGATAAGCATGAAAAACAAATCTATGTGCCAATTGTCATTAGAATAGTGCCGAGAAAATAGGTTACATATAAGCAAAAAAACTTTGGGCAATCTCGAGTTGTTACAACTTTTAAGAATACTTTGTTGAAGAATCTATTTAAAACAAGAGTTTTTTCGAAAAAAATTGAAACATAAAAGTAAACTCTGTGCTGTGCACTGCCGTATTTGACCAAATTTAGTTGTTTTGATCTGTAGCGTTTCACTGTGATTGAAACTGAAACCATAGAGAATGTATCCCGATGTTTCGCCAGTTGGAACCAGTTTGTGGGTTACAAGAGTTTTATTTTATGCTTTGATATTTACCAACGTAAAATTTTAATGACTACTCAATCATGATCTATTAGTAAAATTTACCATAAGTTGTAAAGCTGTAACTATTCATAATTCCAGCCACAAAGATTAAAAGGAAACACACATCTAAACATCCGCCCTCTACATCCAGACTCTTCCGAAGCCATCATCATAGACATACAAACACGCACGAGCTTTTACTTGTTAACATCCTATTTTTTCCCAGAAAAATCTTATGATAACCAAGACCACCAAAGCGACAAGATTCATATGTTGATCACTACACACTCATCCTTACAACCCCTTGGTTTTTTCTATGACTTCACTAATCGACTCAGTGCACCACTTCAAAACTCAGATGAAGATGATTTATATATTACAGCTACTCACCAGCTCACTGATGCCAGGCAACTAAAAGTTTTTACCAGACTTGGCTCGCTACAAATTCTCAGCCGTTACCTTGCACGCAAGTTTAACCACTTCCCCATTGCTCGCTACGACTACACTGACCATACCGACCCTGTAGTCGCAAAGCTCATAACAAAATCGTAAACTCACAACTAACAGAAAAATTTTTTCATTAAAACTGACTATCTTTTTGATTTGCAATGTATTAATAAAAAAAATTGACTATGTCCTTAAGCATGCACTAAAAAACACCAACTATCATTCACGTTTTCACACCCAAAGAACCAGATATTAATTGCTCACAAGAAGAAATAATGAAAACAAAACCCATTTGCACATTTTTGCGCCTTACTAATGAATTTCCCATAGAAGAATTCCGTTCCCTTATCATCCCACATATATACCTCAAAGCTGTTGAAACCTCTTTTTTTAAAAAAATTGGCTTGAAATTCAACTATAAACTTTTAAATTTAATTCAAAAAACTCACCATGACTTTATCGTTGCCCGGAAGAGTTAATGATAATTTAGTCACTTGAGCTTCTTTGCGACTCCTACGCCTTCAAAAAGCATGTTCGCAGAGCTTCTAATGCACTCACTTACCAAAGAAAATCTTAAATCTTTTTTTTTCAAAGAAATTTTCCCGAAATCGACTTCATGTTAGTAAGCAATTGTTGTTTACTAAATAAGTACCTACAATTAATTACTCACCGTTTTACAGTGAAAAAGATCATTCCTTTAGTTTTATTTTTCTTCAATGTTTTCTAATCCTTCCTTTCTAATATTTCCGATCCTTTGGCAAAACTTCAGAAAGCCATCTGGCACAACATTTGACTCAGTATCAGACCATATTATACTAAGTTCAACATTTTTGAGGAAAAGGAAGCGATTAAATGTCAAAAACTCCTCGTGAGGTCCACGTACAACTAAACTTGGAAAAATTTGTCCGATCCAAGGATTTTTCTGGTTTCCCAGAAGCATTGATGTGCTTTTCATGCCTAATAATTGCAACTCGTTCTCGACGGTGAAAACTTTTGGATCCAGAAACATGACCGCGTTAATTCTGAACAAAATTTTGCCAACACGCGCCGAAGAAAAATATTTTCTTTCGATCGACAAGCGGTCATTTTCCTTAAAGACAAGGTAATGGAAGGTAACTGTATTGGTTGAATTAAACCGTATTGTTTTGAGTGTAGTATTCATAATTTGGATCTCCATGTCTGCTCCTTGTGTCAGGACATGGGTCATATCAACCCTATCCACTCGCAAATCCTGCACAAGCATAAGATTGCCGTCGTTTGAACAGTGTTCTACCAATCTAAATCCAAGAGTGTCCGGCCTTTTGCAAAGGCAGGTACCACAAATATTGGAGGAGCTGCGGTCTTTCTTTTCAACTGATCCAATAGGTGCATCAGTTGTTAGCCAATAAGGAAAAGCTGAAACAATAAAATCTGACGTAATATCAAAATTAGGTGTAGGTTTGTCTGTTTATCTTTTTTCTTCTGAAAATTTTCTGCCTTTTTCTACTATTTAAGTATTTGAAAAGGTTTAACTAAGTGAATGGTTTTATTGTCGTTTTTGTAAAAACTTTACAAAAGATGGCACAGAACCTGATTAGGCTTTTTCATTTTTTTTTTGTTTTTTCCTTCTGAAAGCAGCCTTCTGTTCAATTTTCTTTCTTCCAGTTCCGCTCTCTGGCCATTTTGCTTGAACTAAACTATAATACACCCGGCCTATTCAGCAAACATAGCCAATCGAAAATTGAAAAAAGAATAATGAACGCAAGTTAACAAAAAACCCTATTTTTGTTGAAAAAAAAAACTATTTCGAATTTCATAAAAACATAGCCAATTGAAGATCGGAAAAGAAAAAGGAACGCAAGTAACATACAGAACCTTGACTTTCTTGAATTCAAAGAAAAAATAGACGCCTTTGAGTTCTTTGAGTTTCTAGAAAATGTTATGAGTGGCGCTTTTTTGATAACATGAACCCAACTAGAAAAAACTGGATCAATAGCTAAACGTTTTTCTTCCGCTGGGAATCTAAAAATCAAATTCCACTCTTGAAACTAGAAATTGTTCACGTTTTTTTCGTGCCAATACCACGTTTGAGTTTGGAGAGTGCTATATACGTCACTCTCGCAGAAGAAGATCATCTGAACTCTAAAAGTGCATGTATGCCTAAGTGCATTCACTGATGCATCAATATATATGAATGCATATCTGTTGTTATTACATACTTTTATGCACTTTTTTAGACTTTTTACTTAAGAAAAACAAAAAAACAGCAAAACCAATATAGGAGTTTTTACTGCGTTCATTACTATTTAAAATATATTTTACAAAGCATCAACAAGGGTTTGCATATTGGTCGAAGCTGATTTTTTGATATCAAAAATAGGCAAAACAATTCATAAAAACCTACACTTCATAAAAACTTCAGTTTTTTTACTAAGTCGATGTTCTTACAAAGATAAGCATGAAAAGCAAATCTATGTGCCAATTGTCATTAGAATAAGGCAGATAAAATAGGTTACATATAAGCAAAAAAACTTTGGGCAATCTCGAGTTGTTACAACTTCTAAGAATACTTTGTTGAAGAATCTATATAAAACAAGAACTCTTTCGAAAAAAATTTAAACATAAAAGTAAACACTGTGCACTGCCCTATTTGACCAATTTTAGTTGTTTTGAACTGTAGCGTTTCACTGTGATTGAAACTGAAACGATAGAAAATGTATCCCGATGTTTCGCCGGTTGGAACCAGTTTGTGGGTTACAAGAGTTTTTTTTATGCTTTGATATTTACCAACGTAAAATTTTGATGACTATTCAATCATGATCCATTAGTATGACTTACCATAAATTGTAAAGCTGTAACTATTCATAATTCCAGCCACAGAGATTAAAATGAAATACACATCTAAACATCCGCCCCTCTACATCCAG